GTGACTCGTCACAGTCCCACTCTCACCGTGCCTGAGCAGGCTCAGACAAAGTGACTCGTCACAGTCTCACTCTCACCACGCCTGAGCAGTCAGACAAAGTGACTCGTCACAGTCCCACTCTCACCACGCCTGAGCAGGCTCAGACAAAGTGACTTGTCACAGTCCCACTCTCACCATGCCTGAGCAGGCTCAGACAAAGTGACTTGTCACAGTCCCACTCTCACCACACCTGAGCAGTCAGACAAAGTGACTCGTCACAGTCCCACTCTCACCGTGCCTGAGCAGGCTCAGACAAAGTGACTTGTCACAGTCTCACTCTCACCACGCCTGAGCACAGACAAAGTGACTTGTCACAGTCCCACTCTCACCGTGCCTGAGCAGTCAGACAAAGTGACTCGTCACAGTCCCACTCTCACCACGCCTGAGCAGTCAGACAAAGTGACTTGTCACAGTCCCACTCTCACCATGCCTGAGCAGTCAGACAAAGTGACTCGTCACAGTCCCACTCTCACCATGCCTGAGCACAGACAAAGTGACTCGTCACAGTCCCACTCTCACCACGCCTGAGCAGTCAGACAAAGTGACTCGTCACAGTCCCACTCTCACCACTCCTGAGCACAGACAAAGTGACTCGTCACAGTCCCACTCTCACCACACCTGAGCAGGCTCAGACAAAGTGACTCGTCACAGTCCCACTCTCACCATGCCTGAGCAGGCTCAGACAAAGTGACTCGTCACAGTCCCACTCTCACCACACCTGAGCAGTCACACAAAGTGACTCGTCACAGTCCCACTCTCACCACGCCTGAGCAGTCAGACAGAGTGACTTGTCACAGTCCCACTCTCACCATGCCTGAGCAGTCAGACAAAGTGACTCGTCACAGTCTCACTCTCACCGTGCCTGAGCAGGCTCAGACAAAGTGACTTGTCACAGTTCCACTCTCACCATGCCTGAGCAGTCAGACAAAGTGACTCGTCACAGTCCCACTCTCACCACGCCTGAGCAGTCAGACAAAGTGACTTGTCACAGTCTCACTCTCACCGTGCCTGAGCAGGCTCAGACAAAGTGACTTGTCACAGTCTCACTCTCACCACGCCTGAGCAGGCTCAGACAAAGTGACTCGTCACAGTCCCACTCTCACCGTGCCTGAGCACAGACAAAGTGACTCGTCACAGTCCCACTCTCACCGTGCCTGAGCAGGCTCAGACAAAGTGACTTGTCACAGTCCCACTCTCACCACGCCTGAGCAGGCTCAGACAAAGTGACTCGTCACAGTCCCACTCTCACCACGCCTGAGCAGTCAGACAAAGTGACTTGTCACAGTCCCACTCTCACCATGCCTGAGCAGTCAGACAAAGTGACTCGTCACAGTCCCACTCTCACCATGCCTGAGCAGTCAGACAAAGTGACTCGTCACAGTCTCACTCTCACCACGCCTGAGCAGGCTCAGACAAAGTGACTCGTCACAGTCTCACTCTCACCACGCCTGAGCACAGACAAAGTGACTTGTCACAGTCCCACTCTCACCGTGCCTGAGCACAGTCAGACAAAGTGACTTGTCACAGTCCCACTCTCACCACGCCTGAGCAGGCTCAGACAAAGTGACTTGTCACAGTCCCACTCTCACCACACCTGAGCAGGCTCAGACAAAGTGACTCGTCACAGTCCCACTCTCACCATGCCTGAGCAGTCAGACAAAGTGACTTGTCACAGTCTCACTCTCACCACGCCTGAGCAGGCTCAGACAAAGTGACTTGTCACAGTCTCACTCTCACCACGCCTGAGCAGGCTCAGACAAAGTGACTTGTCACAGTCCCACTCTCACCACGCCTGAGCAGGCTCAGACAAAGTGACTCGTCACAGTCTCACTCTCACCACGCCTGAGCACAGACAAAGTGACTTGTCACAGTCCCACTCTCACCGTGCCTGAGCACAGTCAGACAAAGTGACTTGTCACAGTCCCACTCTCACCACGCCTGAGCAGGCTCAGACAAAGTGACTCGTCACAGTCCCACTCTCACCACACCTGAGCAGGCTCAGACAAAGTGACTCGTCACAGTCTCACTCTCACCACGCCTGAGCAGTCAGACAAAGTGACTCGTCACAGTCCCACTCTCACCACGCCTGAGCAGGCTCAGACAAAGTGACTTGTCACAGTCCCACTCTCACCGTGCCTGAGCAGTCAGACAAAGTGACTCGTCACAGTCTCACTCTCACCACACCTGAGCAGGCTCAGACAAAGTGACTCGTCACAGTCCCACTCTCACCGTGCCTGAGCAGGCTCAGACAAAGTGACTTGTCACAGTCCCACGCTCACCACACCTGAGCAGGCTCAGACAAAGTGACTCGTCACAATCCCACTCTCACCGTGCCTGAGCAGTCAGACAAAGTGACTTGTCACAGTCCCACTCTCTCCACGCCTGAGCAGGCACAGACAAAGTGACTCGTCACAGTCCCACTCTCACCACGCCTGAGCAGTCAGACAAAGTGACTCGTCACAGTCCCACTCTCACCGTGCCTGAGCAGTCAGACAAAGTGACTCGTCACAATCCCACTTTCCTCGCGCCTGCGCACAGACGAAGTGACTCATCACAGTCTCACTCTCATCGCGCCTAAGCACAGACAAAGTGACTTGTCACCGTGCCACTCTCACCGCGCCCGAGCACGGTCAGACAAAGTCACTCGTCACCGTGCCACTCACTGCACCCGCGTACAACATTCCACCGCCCATCAGCGAACCCGACGCTAACACAAGTGGCATTCGTGTGTGGCCCGGTAAACATCCTGCATTTTGAACGCTGCTGCATACTAACACCGACAGCGGATCTCCACGCGATCCACCACGGCGAGCGGGTGGATCGCCGCGTTACAACCGCGCCGGGCTGTTATTCAGAGCTGTTATCTTTCGGGCTTTCAGCGCCACACGGCTCATGAGCCAAAACATGGCGAGTGAAGACATCACACATCACGTTGCCCGCCCGGACGCCACGCCAAGCCCGCGTTGCCGGCCGTGTTTATGACAATTAGCGGTTCAGCCGGGTCAAGCGACTCCAGACCGAGTGTCCTGAGATGAGTTGGATGTTGTTGGATACACCAAAACATTCCGAGCAGGGATGAGCTGGGGGCCAGTCACAACAGAGGCCGTGACAGTCTTTGTTAAGCTGCTTATGTAAGGGATACTTGGTCACGAAGACAATGGGGATCGCGAGGTGTTTACATTCTCATGCTAACCAAGCTAGGCTGCACATCACCAGTGAGCGCGTCGACGTTCCTTCCTGTTTGAACGTGGGAAGTCAACACATTTCAACTCGTTCTATCATCGTAACTATTCATCACTCAGGTTCTATTCATAATTTTTTTTTCATTTTTAACACAAGGCTTAACAACACTCCGAAGCATCGATACTGATGCAGTGCATTGAAATGCATAGTCTAGGTAAGTACATAATTCATATATTTATCAACTAATCGTAAAGAGGGCCCACTCGCTCAAAGGCCTCAATGAGTTGATGCCTTGAAAAATAGCTCCTTAGCTCTATGGGCCTTGCAAGCTGAAATAAAGTTCAAGTCCGAGTTGAAAAATTACAAAAGAACGCACATGAACACCATACAAGCTGGTGTGTGTGTGGGGGCGACAGTTCTCCAATGAGGTCTGCTCTTGTAGACAAAGGTGATTATGGAGATGAATATGACGGCGATGATGAAGACGATGGTGAAAGTGGTGGTGGCGATGATGACGATTCGAGTATACGTATACGTTCACGTGTGTGCACACGTCTGCGTGTCTATGCAGAGCTTCATTTATTTCCATGGAACCCCAACCGCCTGCACCCCGTGGCGAGGTCGGGGTGCAGAATAGTTTCCGAGAGCTCCAGCTGAAATTAATCCCTGTGTTTATATATATGTGTGTGTATATGTGTGTGTGTATATGTGTGTGTCTGGCAGTGTGTATATGTGTGTGTATGTGTGTGTCTGGCAGTGTGTATATGTGTGTGTATGTGTGTGTCTGGCAGTGTGTATATATGTGTGTTTGTATGTGTGTGTCTGGCAGTGTGTATATGTGTGTGTATATGTGTGTGTCTGGCAGTGTGTATGTGTGTGTATGTGTGTGTGTCTGGCAGTGTGTATATGTGTGTGTATGTGTGTGTGTCTGGCAGTGTGTGTATGTGTGTGTCTGGCAGTGTGTATATGTGTGTGTATATGTGTGTGTGTATATATGTGTATATATGTCTGTATATGTGTGTATATGTGTGTGTCTGGCAGTGTGTATATGTGTGTGTCTGGCAGAGTGTATATGTGTGTATATATATATGTGTGTGTGTAAATATGTGTGTATATGTGTGTGTATATGTGTGTGTGTGTATTTGTGTTCGAAGCGGTAGTGTAGCGGTTAACACGCGGAGCTAGAACCTGGCGACCCGGCTTCGATTCCTGCTCACGGCCAACACAAGTGACGATTGTCTGAACCGGTGCTGGGCCTCCCCTAGGCCGACTGAGCCTCAAATGAGTACCTGGTGCGGTGTGTAAACATTGTCACGAGGGAGACAAAGGCGGCCGGGCGTGGTGTTGGCCACCCACCCCCTCGTGTGCCGTGCCGGCCTTCATAGGTGCTCGCTAACAGGCTCTGGAGACCACCTCGAGAAGATTCCAGGCACGTGTTGACAATGACGGCGAACAAGTAGAGACTCTTCGACTCTCCAAAAGCAAATATTTGTTATCATGTCACAGTGTATTATCCGTCCTTCGTTCATTAAAAAAAAAGATAGTCCCGTATGGGCGTTAAAAACATTGCTGAAGCACCCTGAACATTTTTGATTTGCAGCCGAAAATGTTTTAGCTATGGGAGCAAACCAGAGAACCCGGAAGAAACCCATGCAGAACCGTGTGGTGAGAGTGTGAGAGAGGGCAAAACAAACAAGTCCACACGGAGAGGCGGTCGAACCCACGCGGCGTTGCCCCGAGAGCGAGCGGGCGAGCGAGCGAGCGAGCGAGAGACTCACACGTGCTGCGTGACGTTGGGGAACGCGTCCGCGTACTGCGGCGCCGAGTCCTCGGGGCCGTGCGGTGCCGCGTGGCTCACCACCATGAGCACGGGCCTCAGCGGGAACTCCTGCTTGGAGCGGCGGAAGAACGAGATGCTGTCGTTGGTGATGAGGTCGGTGAGGTAGTCCTGCACAGAGACAAAGATTCCACCCACCCCCCACACCACCACCACCACCGTGGGAGCTTTAACAGACTGTTGGGGCAAGTGCTGTTGGCGAGTAGCACGTACGAAGGCCGGCATGGCACACGAGGGAGGTGGGTGGCCTGCACCGCACCCGGCTGCCTTCGTCTCCCGGGTGGCGATGTTTGCACGCTGCACCAGGTATTCGTTTGAGGCTCAGTGAACCTAGCGGAGGGCCCTGGACAGATTCAGATAATCGTCAATGTTCATGGCCGTGAACTCGAGTCGTCGAGTTCGTTAGGGCCGAACGCTAACCCTCTACCCTACCGCTCCCTGCACGCACACACAGACACAGCGCAGAGCACCACCGGCCCAGAGGCAGACACTGCGGCAGACACTGCGGCAGACAGCTGCACGGTGGTGGCTGTGCTGCACGTGGCCTGCGATCCTGCGAAATTCCCCTCCCGTAGACGTCGAGGTGCCGCCATACCCGGGGCTCTCCGGGAGAATGCGGCGCAGCAAAAATGTGGACTCCACCTGTTCCGTCTGTATGGGATAGAGTGTTTCCCCCTCGCAAGTGCGGGTTTTCTCCAGGCGCTACGGTGTCCTCCAACGTGTAAACACACATCAATTGACTGACAACACCTTCATGTATGGAAGACCGCAGAGCCTTGGGCAATTGCTGGCAGTGCCGGCTGACCGCGAGGCTGCCTTCCCGCTCGTCTGTGGTTCCTCCCCGCGCCTCCGGGTCGCCCTCTCTCCCTCTCCCTCCCTCTCTCTACGAGAGCGAGCGAACGAGCGGCGTTGTGCGGCGGCAGCGCATCGCAAGTTCGAATCATTACTCACGGGTCAAGCAAATCGCAGGGGAACATTAGTTTACGTGCGAAACGCACGCAGGTACGAGGATGTGGACTAAACGAGCCAAGGTGAAAGGCGTCTCCTTGTTCACGTTTAGCGTGTTGGGGTGGGTTTGCTCGCTGCCGACGTCGCTCCAAAGATTCCACATTTCTGTGGGGCGTGCGCAGGGCTTTTTGCTTTTTTTTTTACTTTAGAACGTCGGGGGGGGGGGGGGCGCTTATTTTCTTCTGGGTTAAGTGCATTAAAATACCCAAGGTTTGTTGTGCGTGATTGAAAAGCCGATCTTGTACCCATCAAATAAAATTGGTGCACGATGAATTGGCTCCGGGGTTCTCAGCTTACTTAAATATAAAGGCACTCGATGTTTTATATATCTTTTTAAGGATTATTTTTTTTGTCCTTTTCCAGTCGTTAATGTGCTGAAAGCATGCTGCTGGTGTTTCGTTTCAATGTGAATGGGATGTGGAATTGGCCGAGGGCTTCTCGGTCGCGATCGGCCAAGTTGGGGCTCTGCCAGGCATGGGAAGTGGGGTTCCTGGCCAGCAGGGTGGTGGTAGGTGGGGGGCGCTGCTATCAACCACTGTGGGATCACTGAACGAAGCCCTGGGACACACCCAGAAAAAAAAAACATTTGTGGCTCCTATCCCTTACAATCGCCAGGCCACGACAACGCTCGGCCTCACTTCAATCCTCAGCCACCTGCTTCGCAAGATCCCGAGTGGGGCAAAAAACAAAAAAGTCTCGCATGCTTTTTTTTGTTTGTTAAGCCGGCTAATAGACACAATGTATGTTCGTATTATTAGCATCTTTAAGTGCGCGCACGAACACAAACACAGCCACACAGATACAGAGAAAGATCCCCAGCCACCCATAACCTCATGAGGTTGTTGGGGCAAGTGCTGTTAAGCAAGCATCTTCTGCACGCACACTCGAGGTGGTGTGGCCAAGTAGCACTACGCCCAGCCGCCTTTGTCTCGTTTTTACGAACACTGCACCAGGTATTCATTAAAGTCCGAGCCTACTTAAAAAAAGGCCCACGATGGGTTTCAAATATTTGCCAATGCTGTTCGCCCTGATGGGGAATCAAACTCAGGTTGCCAGGTTCAGTGCTCTAACCATCACACTAACGCTCCCCAACGCATACAGACACATCGGACCAGAGATGATTGTTGTCATCATTTACGTCAATGAGGCATGCAAGGATTTACCCCGTTACAATTCCGTGAATTGCCACGATTCAGCGTTGCAATTTGATTTAACTGTGCGATCCAATGTAGTGCTTATAGTGGCTACAGGGCTCAGCATGAAATGTATGCAAATAAAAACAATACGTTCTCACACAGCGGATACCATGCAGGCATCATGAGCAAGGCAAAGATTATGTTTTTAGTCATTAATCAATTACACTCGGAATTTGCTCAATGCAACATGGGGTGGAGCGCTTATTTCTGATTTACTGCCCTGAGTCACTGGTGGGGATTCCTATGGCAGAGGCAAATCTATCCACAGGGAAACCGCTGGCGACTTCCCACAATGTGGAACAATGAAAGACAATGCAAGGCTCGGTCAACCGCCGGGCAACATTGCAATTCAGAAACTTCTGATATGCGAAACAATGTCATCTCCCCCACTTTGCCACATGTGCCGCTAACCGAGCATCTATTGTGACTGGCATTGGTGCACGAGGCAGTGGTGTGGCCTGAATCACACCGAGCGACTGTGTTCTGCCCAACACCTATCTACGTATACTCCACTAGGTACTCATTGAAGGCATAAGACATCTATGGGAGGTCTACTTTTCTGATGTTTTTTATGGCTAGAAATAAAATCCAGATCACTGAGATTCTACCAAATGCACCGACCACAATGCCACAACGCCCCACCAAACGTGCGCACACACAATGTGAGAAGTGTGTTTATTGTGCTGCAATATATTTTATGTAAAAATCCTTTGGGGATAAAGTACTTTGTTCTAGTAGATTTAGAGCTCCTAAAGGATATTTACTGGATGTATACCAAGTGAACTTACATGGGATTATTTAAGAATTTATAGTGTTGTATAATAGTTTTTTTTTTCAAATATATATATAAACCATGTAGGGCCCAAGAGGATTTCTGCTGCCTAACTATGCCGTAAAATAATTTATTTTAGAATTGTTCCATCCAGGCACGAGCAGCCATAATCCCTCTGTGGTTATGGAGCTTTGAGAATATAAATCATAGCAGCTGATATTTTCACTGACTCCAGGCTCCTCTTAAACAGAGAAAGACGTGAGATATAAAGACAACTTAAAATAAAGCCCGGGCAACTGCCTCTCACTAACCGCCACTTGTATCTGCAAAAGCTTATTAGCAACATCTTCTCAGCCCAACACATCGTGACATAGGATGCTGATCCGTCATTGCTGCAGGTAGAAAACGTGTATAACTAATACTTGAGCATATTAAACAATTCAAAGCACATTTCTTTACTCGTTCATTGTTGTTGCGAAATTCTTGACTGTTAGCTAGCATGTGCCTTTGGTAAAGGTGTTATAAGCCAACTTGCTTTTTTTGCAAATTTAAGTCGGCACATTCAAAATAAAGAGTATAAAATCCCTGGCCTTTCGCCCTCTTCCTCTTTGCTCTGAATAAAGGTCACACCGTGGAAATTCAGCTCACTATATTTTCAGTTTAAAAGCAAGTTTTAATCCACATTAACTTTTGGGTTCTGCCAAGTGGCGGTAGTTTTATGCCAAAATTCTTGTCATTGGCCCTCCACCACCCGACAAGATTTGTCAAGTTGACAAAAGATATTATTTTTCCGTGCCAAAATGCGTTGATCAGATCCTGACCTGATACAGCTTTTCCAGGGTTGCTTAAGACTTTTCACAACTGAATGCATCATCAACGCGCGATGACATTTCGCTCCAACTGCTTGGAGCTTCACTCAAATCCTAATTTAATGACCTACAGACTCTACCTCACAGCAGTTTGAGCTTCTTCTTGAAGAAACCAAACAATCCTACTTACAAACTGGATACAAATAGGTTCCCTTTTTAGTATGACATTTCAAATACATGCATTTAAGGAACCAATAAAATACTTGGTTGAAATAAATAAGCTGTACACGACGGACTCCATCCAATTAACAATGCGTGAATCGCAGCACACGACGCAAGCACTGATCATTATGAGACCTTCTTTGCCAGAAACAAGATATAGGAATAGGTTTTACCCTTTTAACTGGCACAAAAACTGACACCTTTATTCAAGGCATCATGTTTGCAATAACCACAAAAAAGCAGTCAAAATGCAAACAAAAAAGACAACTCTGATAATAATATGCACTGTCCTTGAATTTGATTGGTCCACACCTGAGACGGCTTTCTTTAGAGCCTAGTCTCCATTGGTGTTGGACCAGAAGACGCAAACATGATGCCTTGAATAAAAGTGTCAGTGTTTGTGCCAGTTAAAAGGGTAAAACCTATTCCTATGCAAGCACTGATCGTTGGGGAGAGAATTCCACGTTGAAAATGGCAAGTGATTTAACATTCTTGAACAATGTGAACAAGTCAAGTAATTTCTCCGACTTCTTAGCCCCCAGCGACTGTGCTTAAAGAACATATGCAGCCCTTAAGGCGCGTCTCATTTGTCCTGCAGTGTTTAGGCTTAAGTAACTTGATGTTATATCGCATGAGAATGTAATTTGGGAAAGGATAAGGCCAACACTGAGAAATGTCGACGGATAAATGTGTTGTTTAATTTAGCAGACGTGGCATTCATTTGTTCAGCTCATTTGTAAATTACCAATTAAATGACAAATCTTGTGCGATTAAACACAACTCTAAATGTTTTATTATTTCGCTCTGTATCTCCTCTCAGCATGGTTTATAAGCCTGGGAATGTTTTCTTAAAATTCTAAACTGGAATAATCAAGTTTTTTAATCGCTTCCAAAATAGGGCAGTTCATAGTCAATTACACACCCCAGTAAAGTTTTGTTTAGCCTTTTCGGTCACTGTGAAAACATATTTCGTTTTTTACTTTAATTATTAAACCCAGTAAATGGCTATAGCAGTAATTGCACCATTTGAGAAAATCGCCGATCCATCTCAACAACGTTAACGTTGGTAAAGGAGGTGGCTCATCGCAGCTTCCTGCCCTGCCGAATTACCGTTAAACCGCAGCAGGCAATGTCTGAAAAAAATAACCCAAGATTTGTGCAGAAAAAATATCTGACGCTACCAAATCCTATATCAAAATTATTTCCATACGAATAGCCAATGTACATTTTTTAATTACACCTCAATATGGAACTTCACCAGAAACATTGCTTGTATGTCAGTTAGGGCACGCATGTGCATGCACGCACGCGTGCACAAACACACACACAGGATGTATACACGTCATGGGAAACAGTAACATTTAAAGTAATGACAAGAGCCAAATTAAATATTCGGAAATAATTCTCTTATTTTTGTTACGTTCTTATATTTCTTAATTTTGTCATATTCTTGAACAAATGGAGAGCATGGACAACGCTATCGTGAAACTGGCACTACATTGGTCTTACACAAGGAAGGAGAACTCGTGATGAATTGTATTGATGATGTACACAATTCTGTAATTGCATTGAAATGTGTGGCACAACAAACCTCCAGCCCCTGACCTTCCCTTCTCCAAATAAGAGCGCTTGTTTGGTTTGCCAGATTAGCGATATTTTTTTTAATCTGTGGTCTGGGGATGTTGGAGGGTAATAGGGACAGGGCCATGCTTTACAATTCATCATATATACCTTTGCTTTATAAAAAAAACAACGTTAACAGACAAAGCGCCCTTTACACCTGGGCGTCTCGAGAGCACCTCGCACGCGTTAACGGACTTATATCACGACTCGTGTCGAACATTTCAAAGGTCACCCAAAGTGGGCAAGCTGTCCCTGTGGGCACAAGGCCACTCAGCACCTTGCCGGAAAACGAGCAATACTCTAGCCAGTAGGCAGCGATGAGTGGCGCGTGTAATCACAATTTAACCGTTTGCTGGTCATTTTTCAAAGTTGCCACATGTGAGCCCTTCACGAGCGTTATCATGCCGTGCCGCTCGCCTCAGCCCCCCCCCCCCCGCCCCGACCAAGCCAAGTGCCGGGAACGCTGACTAAGGTGGGTGCCGGGAACGCCGACCGAACCGGGCTTTGGGAACGCCGGGAACGCCGAGCCGGGTACTGGTAACGCCCATCGAGCCGAGCGCCGGGAATGCCGACCGAGCCGAGCGCTTCCCAGGAGGAGAGGCTCCCACCTTCTCGTAGATGAATCCGTGCTTCTCGGGGACGCCATTGCGGCTCAGCGTGTAGTTGTAGAAGCGCGAGTTCTTGATGAGGCCGAGCCACTCGCGCCAGCCCGGGGGCACGTACGTGCCGTTGTACTCGTTGAGGTACTTCCCAAAGAAGCCTGCCGGTAAACATTCGCACGCACGCACACAAAGATCCCCCGGATAGCTTTAACAGACTGTCGCGGTAAGTGCTGTCAGCAAGCAGGACCGACGGAGGCCAGCAAGGCACACGAGAGGGTGGGTGGCCAGCATCACGCCCGCCCGTCTCCCTCGTGGCCACATGTACACATCGTACCAGGTGCTCATTTGAGGCCGAGTCGACCGAGGCGATGCCCAGGTCTGGTTTAGACAATCGTCACCGGTGATTGCCATGAGCGCAGCGGCTTAACCCCTACACTACCTGCTCCCCAAAAAGAAGCCTTCGGGAGCCATGCACACGCACACACACACAACGAATGATAGTGGACCGCATGCAACGGTCATCACCATCATCATCCATGACCAATCCACTGCTGGATAAAGTCCTCCCCACCATCTCTCACAATCCTATGATGTAATCCATCCAACGAGCACCTGCACACGGGCTGAATTGATTGCTCCATCTCCTCGGAAGACAGATGTTCACAGACGCGTGACACGCACGATGAAGTAAGTCACTAAAATGCACGCAGCGGACAGACGCAGATGCACATTCCACTAATGAGACCACATGACCAGACGTCCCGCATATTCCTTGGTAAACTAAATGCGGATATTTTGCAACACAAAATCAGTCGCTCGTTTGTAACGAGAAATCAACCTCAAGGCTACGCTCATGACCCACTGAGGAAAAGGTCACTGCCTGACATTTTAACTTATTACGTGTTTTTCACTTACAAAAAGGGTATTATTGACGAGGCCACTCAAGTCTTCTCAGCCGAAGCAGTGACAAGTAAATACATCATCAACCCCAACTGCTGCAGTGACACCTTTTTGGGTGAGAATGCTTATTTCTTAACACACCTGGTCTTCCCCACTCATCCATTATAACGAAGCCTGTGGGGATTTAAACCTTCTTCTGATATATATAATTACAGGGGTTATAAAAACAATTATAGTAATTATAATAGACGCCTATGTATAACACATTTTTGACATATACTTTATTATTTTTTGGACACATAAGGTGACTTCTCGTCCCGAGGATGTAGTTAATGAAACGTTTACGATGTTATATTCTTGGTTCTTTCGGTAAAGTCACGTAGAAGGGGAAAAATAAAATAGTAAAAATAAAACAATAAAATTCTCACGACGTTTCGATTGCAACACAAGCAATCATCATCAGGTGTGAAAACCACGGCAAGAAAAAAAGTTTATAATGTTCGAACGTTTCACGTGACACGAAAAGTTACCTAATTTTCCTGTATTGTGCTTCACGCTAAAATACAGCTCCCGTGTTCATCTCAATATTCTTACGCTGGGGTGAGCGAGTATTGCGCCGATTACATTTGCGTTGACATATCTTAGGTACATGCCATTTTCGACAAAAAGCTTTGTAGACTTGCACACACAGGTCTTCAAAGCAAATCGTGGACACAAGCGCACTGCAAAGTGTAAGTGCCGAAACGTAGTGTTATCCAAAACAGAGCGGCAGAGGTTCGTAGTATTTGGGCGCAAAAGTGTTAACTAAGTGGTCAAGCAAAAATCTTGTCCAGACACCAAACAGACAACCGCCGCTTTCTCACGCGGATTGCCAGTGGCCCTCCGCGCCTTAGAGGCGACGACACATTGCCGCTGCCGCTGACCGCCGAGATTCTTCGCGCGCAACGCTCTACGCGGGCAGGGGAATGGGAAGCACGCGAGGGAGCGCGGCTGCTCACGCAACCGTCGCCTGGGAAGCCGTCGCCTGGGAAGCCGTCGCCTGGGAAGCCGTCGCCTGGGAAACCGTCGCCTGGGAAGCCGTCGCCTGAGAAGCCGTCGCATGGGAAGCCAATCGCCTGGGAAACCGTCGCCTGGGAAACCGTCGCCTGGGAAACCGTCGCCTGGGAAACCGTCGCCTGGGAAGCCGTCGCCTGGGAAACCGTCGCCTGGGAAGCCGTCGCCTGGGAAGCCGTCGCCTGGGAAACCGTCGCCTGAGAAGCCGTTGCCTGGGAAACCGTCGCCTGAGAAGCCGTTGCCTGGGAAACCGGGCGATTCTAATAAATCTGCAGCCGCGCAAATCGCCAACGCCGACCTCAAAAACGCCTCCTCCGCCACCATCAACGCCGGCCTAGAACGACTCAAAACGTGCGTGGTATTGTGTTGGTAGTGGTGCACGAGCACAAATAACGCAAAACTCAAACTCATTCGTCAATAAAACTGCCCTGAAGATGGAAACAATAAATATGTATATATAATAAGCGGCGTTTCAGGGAGATGCTTCTCTTTCACAGCCAACACACATCATGTTTTGTTAGTTTAGTTTGTTATCATTCCCCCGTACCTCCGATGAGCACGGTTGGCTATGTACGGTGCGAAAGAAGTTCAACATACGTATATAAACGCAACGTATCTCCATTAGAGAAGATCAATTGCCCTAAACATCACCTATTACTGCAAGAACTCCGCTATCCTGCACTTTACCACTCGGAATGCTCTATTAACCGGCATCTGTCATATGGGTATTACAAGTCTTCCATACACGCGTCCGGAAAAATGCCAACCAGCCATCAGGGCTTCTTGCCCGTGCACTTCTCACAGATCTGAGTGATGGTGCTAGCCGGCAATCTGTACGTACTCTACCACTGCATCCTGTACTCTAAACGGCCCCAACTGCATATCGACAAATCAGACAAATCAATTTAGTACCGCTCCATACCTGACCGGTGAGTACCTCTCTGTAAAAACAGTACGTTATTTCTTATATCACAGTTACAAAGTAGTAGCTAGTTGCTCTCTCGCAAAAGTTGCATGCACACTCGGAAAATGTGGCGACACCACAACCCGCAGATAAACAGGCGTATTTGAATTGACCGGCATCCTCCACTTTACCCATGGACGTCGGGACAACGGAGCTTTTGCTGTGAATGTTTACCGCTTTGGGGCAGAGTTGTTTTCTTACGACACCAATGCTGTATATACAGTGAGGGAAAAAAGTATTTGATCCCCTGCTGATTTTGTACGTTTGCCCACTGACAGAGAAATGATCAGTCTATAATTTTAATGGTAGGTTAATTTGAACATTGAGAGACAGAATAACAACAACAAAATCCAGAAAAACGCATGTCAAAAATGTTCTAAATTGATTTGCATTTCAACGAGGGAAATAAGTATTTGACCACTCTGCAATACATGACTTAGTACTTGGTGGCAAAACCCTTGTTGGCAATCACAGAATTCAGACGTTTCTTGTAGTTGGCCACCAGGTTTGCACACATCTCAGGAGGGATTTTGTCCCACTCCTCTTTGCCGATCTTCTCCAAGTCATTAAGGTTTCGAGGCTGACGTTTGGCAACTCGAACCTTCAGCTCCCTCCACAAATTTTCTATGGGATTAAGGGAGATTGACAGTTCTTTTGTGTTTCTTGCATTTGCGAATAATTGCACCAACTGTTGTCACCTTCTCACCAAGCTGCTTGGCAATGGTCTCGTAGCCCATTCCAGCCTTGTGTAGGTCTACAATCTTGTCTCTGACATCCTTGGAGAGCTCTTTGGTCTTGGCCATGGTGGAGAGTTTGGAATCTGATTGATTGATTGCTTCTGTGGACAGGTGTCTTTTATACAGGTAACAAGCTGAGATTAGGAGCACTCCCTTTAAGCGTGTGCTCCTAATCTCAGCTCGTTACCTGTATAAAAGACACTTGGGAGCCAGATTTCTGACTGATTGAGAGGGGGTCAAATACTTATTTCCCTCATTAAAATGCAAATCAATTTACAACATTTTTGACATGCGTTTTTCCACTTGCTCAAGAAAGCACATATACATGCCCGTCTGAAGTTTGCAAATGAACATCGGAATGATTCAAAGGACAACTGGGTGAAAGTGTTGTGGTCAGATGAGTCCAAAATGGAGCTCTTTGGCATCAACTCAACTCGCCGTGTTTGGAGGAGGGAGAATGCTGCCTATGACCCCAAGAACACCATCTCCACCGTAAAACATGGAAGTGGAAACATTATGCTTTGGGGATGTTTTTCTGCTAAGGGGACAGGACAACTTCACCGCATCAAAGGGACGATGGACGGGGCCATGTACCGTCAAATCTTGGGTGAGAACCTCCTTCCCTCAGCCAGGGCATTGAAAATGGATCGTGGATGGGTATTCCAGCATGACAATGACCCAAAACACACGGCCAAGGCAACAAAGGAGTGGCTCAAGAAGAAGCACATTAAGGTCCTGGAGTGGCCTAGCCAGTCTCCAGACCTTAATCCCATAGAAAATCTGTGGAGGGAGCTGAAGGTTCGAGTTGCCAAACGTCAGCCTCGAAACCTTAATGACTTGGAGAAGATCTGCAAAGAGGAGTGGGACAAAATCCCTCCTGAGATGTGTGCAAACCTGGTGGCCAACTACAAGAAACGTCTGACCTCTGTGATTGCCAACAAGGGTTTTGCCACCAAGTACTAAGTCATGTTTTGCAGAGGGGTCAAATACTTATTTCCCTCATTAAAATGCAAATCAATTCATAACATTTTTGACATGCCTTTTTTGGATTTTGTTGTTGTTATTCTGTCTCTCACTTTTCAAATAAACCTACGTTTAAAATTATAGATTGATCATTTCTTTGTCAGTGGGCAAAGGTACAAAATCAGCAGGGAATCAAATACTTTTTCCCTCACTGTACACAGGATGCCGGCACGCTTTGGCACACCGTGCCCTTTTCTAAAGCGGTTTCTTTTTGCTGTTGTTCTCGCTTTGGAGACCCTTTTTCTCCACCTACCTACCCCCACAAAGGTTGCTACTGAAACTTAAAATATCCACGGATAAACGTAGGATGATGATATGAACCGCCGAGAGTGGCCCCCTTGACATCACCACGGGCACGTTTAGTTTGGGCACGTTTAGTTTGTTTTGCGGGTTTTTATTCGTATTCCCCGATTCCTCGCGCGGTGACAGCCGCCTTGCCACTGCCGTACGTCAGAAAAGGGGGAGATAGATTTTGTATATT